ACTACCTACTTACTACTACCTACTTACTACTTACTACTTACTACTTACTACTTACTACTTACCTACTTACTAATTACTACCTTACTACTTACTACTTACTACTTACTACTTACTACTTACTACTACTACTACTACTTACTACTTACTACTACTTACTACTACTACTACTACTACTACTACTACTACTACTACTACTACTACTACTACTACTACTACTACTACTACTACCTACTACCTACTACTACCTACTACTACTACCTACTACTACTACCTAATGCTATTACTACTACTACTACTACTGCTACTACTACTACTAATAATACTACTACTACGACGACTACTACGACGACGACGACTACTACTACTACTACTACTACTTACTACTTCTTACTACTACCTACTTACTTACTACCTACTTACTTACTTACTTGCTTACTTTCTTACTTACTTGACATACTTACTTACTTACTTACTTCCTTTCTTAATTACTTTCTTACTTTCTTACTTACTTACTTACTTGCTTGCTTGCTTGCTTGCTTGCTTGCTTACTTACTTACTACCTACTACTACTACTACTACTACCACTACTACGACGACGACGACGACGACCACGACTACTACTACTACTACTCCTACTACTCCTACTACTCCTACTACTCCTGCTACTCCTACTACTCCTACACTCCAACACTCCTACACTCCTACACTCCTACACTCCTACACTCCTACACTCCTACACTCCTACACTCCTACACTCCTACACTCCTACACTCCTACACTCTTACACTCCTACACTCCTACGCTCCTACACTCCTACACCTTACACTGCTACTCCTACTCTCCTTCTCCTTCTCCTACTCCTACTCCTACTGCTACTGCTACTGCTACTGCTGTTGCTACTGCTACTGCTGCTGCTACTACTAGTACTACTAGTACTACTAGTACTACTACTACTACTATTACTACTACTACTATTACTACTACTATTACTACTACTATTACTACTACTACTATTACTACTACTACTACTCCTCCTCCTACTACTACTACTCCTACTCCTACTCCTACTCCTACTCCTACTCCTACTACTACTACTACTTCTTCTTCTTCTTGCTACTACTACTACTACTACTACTCCTACTCCTACTCCTACTACTACTACTACTACTACTACTACTTCTTGCTACTACTACTACTACTACTACGCCTACTCCTACTCCTACTCCTACTCTCCTTCTCCTACTCCTACTCGCCTTCTCCTACTCCTACTCCTACTCCTACACTCTGACTCCTATACTCTGACTCCTACACTCTGACTCCTACACTCTGACTCCTACTCCTACTGCTACTGCTACTGACTGCTACTACTACTACTACTACTACGCCTACTCCTACTCCTACTCCTACTCTCCTTCTCCTACTCCTACTCGCCTTCTCCTACTCCTACTCCTACTCCTACACTCTGACTCCTATACTCTGACTCCTACACTCTGACTCCTACACTCTGACTCCTACTCCTACTGCTACTGCTACTGACTGCTACTGCTACTGCTACTGCTACTGCTACTGCTACTGCTACTGCTACTACTACTACTACTACTACGACTACTACGACTACTACTACGACTACTACTACGACTACGACTACGACTACTACTACTACTACCACCACCACCACCACCACCACTACCTACTACTACCTACTACTACCTACTACTACTACCTACTACTACTACCTACTACTACTACCTACTACTACTACCTACTACTACTACTACCTACTACTACTACCTACTACTACTACCTACTACTACTACCTACTACTACTACCTACTACTACTACCACCTACTACTACCTACTACTACCTACTACTACTACTACTACTACTACTACCACTACTACTACTACCACCACCACTACTACTACTACTACCACTACTACTACCACCACCACCACCACCACTACTACTACTACTACTGCGACTACCTGTTCCTGAGTCTCTAGCGATGCCACCAGCCAAAACACCAATAAATGTGCAGGGACGACACTCTCCAGTGAGCCTAGGAACAAATTCATAGAGCTGAGCTTTCAAGTCATCCATATCTGCACTCATTCTTATCAGAACTTCTTTTCTTCTTGGGAAGCTGCTTGCTCACTTTGGACTGGCTCTGAATGAACTTCTGCGCTTTCTCTTTGGCCTTGGTTCCAGCATTTGACAGCCAGCTGCCTATTGAGATGATAAGGCGACGTGCCAAGAGTCAGGCAGGAAAGAAGTGAGTCGTTCTGATTGTAACATCTTGGTACGCGTCTTTGGACCACCTGGTCAGTCTGACTTCAAGATCTTGAAGGTCACCGCAGGAAGAAACAAGCCAGGCTGTCTGCTGAAGCAAAGAATCGCCGCTTTGCCTGGCAAAATATACTCAATGCATCTCAATGCATCTCACTGATGGTTCCGTTCCGAAAGCGTTGACAGACAATCAAACATTTGTGTGCAAGATTGTGCAAGTGTATCCTCGCGACTTTGCGCTTCACTTTCACCTCGCTCGCTTACTTGAGCACGCACCCGCGCTTCAGTTTGAAAGGGTGTGGTGTGGCTAATTTGCAGTAATTGCATTTAATTGTGTGGCCCTGTGTTGTTTTCATCCTTGGCACAAGGTTGGACTTTCCTTTTTGAAAGAATGAGGAATGCAGCACGAGTCACTGTAAGGGTTCTGTTACCATCTTCAACCAACTGTATGGCAAGGATTGTGTCCTGAGACTGGTTGTCAATGACATCAGTTTGTGTCCGATATCTGCCCCGGTCACATTTACTCGGGTTGCTCTGCAAAGCCCTTAGTCAGTGGAAAGTCTGCCGTCTGCCACCAAGGCTTCTTGCCTGACTCTTGTGATTGCATCCGATTGCATCCAATTGCATCCGATTGCGGTGTGGTTCTTAAACATTCTTGATCCGTTGAAATCCGTTGAAGCAATGCTCTCTCGCACTTGATGCCGATCTGCGCGTCGGAGGCATTGCTGCCACAGTGGGTCACGGATTCTAGTGACAGCGGAGGTATAGGTTTGTGTATGTTTGTCTTTGTGTGTGTGTGTTTGTGTCTTTGTGTGTGTGTGTGTCTGTGTCATTCTGTGTCTCTGTATGTGTGTCAAGATTACTAAGGTGTCCTTTCTGCTACAACTTCCATTGCCAGAAGACCATCACTCTACGCTTCGAAATCTATGCGACTAACATGATCATAGAACATTTAAATGGTCAGAGATGCCATTTTCCTGCTGCTTTCTTCCTGTCAGACTTGCTGCCAGCGCAAGCATCGAAACATCGTCCAATTGGCCTCTGCACAAGGTATCATTTCAACCTTCTGTGTGACTTCTCTGACTGTGCACCGTTTGTTACCTGTATGATCTGCATGCGCTTATTGGCTGATTGGATCTACCAATACCTGAGCGCGCGACTCCCAACAACAATTCAGGCTTGCCAGGCCACAGTTTGAGTCTTTGTGCGGAAGACTCTCCGACTTAGCGGATTCAGCAATGGAACTCTTGAGCCACAGTAACTCACATTATCTATCGTATCTCTCGGTCGCTCAAGGGCCAGGCCCAAATCCAAGCAATCATGCGAGGAATCCTGAACAACCTGAGGTTGAATTTATTTGAATACACTTAATGGATCCTCCGCTGACATGGGCTCGAGATTCACAAGACTGGAGAGCAAAACTCAAACAAATCTGTGAACTTTGTCCGCTTGGCGGTCGCAACACAGCCAAACTAGAAACCACGAATACATAATACATACTGCAACGGAAATTGCAGAATCATTCAGTTCAGTAAAGATAGCAAGACAACAAACAAGTGGCCTGAACAAATCTTTTCAGATTGTCTATGCCACCCAAAAGGCAGCTCAGGTCCATGCCAAATTCCAGAAGCCCCGAGCATGATACTGCCTGACAGTACTCTCTCCCAGATCTCCAGTTTCCAGCTATGTGTATACTTATACTATCTTATACATTCTTATACTATCTTATACTGTAGTTCTGTCATGTTCTATCCAATTTCCCGACGCAAAAAAAGTTGCAAGACGTTCAAAGGCCCGTATTATATAGTTCTATATATATATACAGGTAAATGGAATTCGGTTAAAAAAACTCTGCTATTGTGTGGAAGAAGACGACCACCACCACCGACACAACAACAAAAAACAACAACAACGACAACGACAACGACCACAACGACAACGACCACAACGACAACGACAACAACGACCACAACGACAACGACAACAACGACAACAACGACCAACCGACCAACCGACCAACCGACCAACCAACCAACCAACCAACCAACAACAACAATTATCATTTATTACTATTATGATTACGCCAGCATAGACCCCAGATAGCAAAACATATTTTTGGGGGGCAACCAAAGGCTCGCCTTTTTTGCCACGACATACAGTAAATGTAATCTCCATCAGGGCCCAACGCCCACACTGCCATAGACATCTCGCAGCAACCCCCTCCAGCAGCACCAGCATGCCCGCTCCAAAGCGCACACACCATTGTTCAAGCAACACCCTACATGCGGCACCCTGCAGCGGCACGGCACCCTGCAGGCACCTTGCAGTGGCACCAGCATGCCCGGTCCAAAGCGCACACTCCACACTGACAGCAGCACCCTGAAGCAGCACCCTGCAGCACGCGACAGCAGCACCCTCGAGCAGCGCACTGCAGCGGCACCGTGCAGCAGCACCCGCTCTAAAGCGCGCACACACCTGTGACAGCAGCACCTTCAAGCGGCGCCCTACAAGCGGCACCCTGCAGCAGCACCCTGCAGCGGCATAGCACCCTGCAGCGGCACCCTGCAGCGGCACCCTGCAGCGGCACCCTGCAAGGGCACCATGCAGAGGCACCCTGCAGCGGCACCCTGCAACCGCACAAGCATGTCCGCTCCAAAACGCAGACATGCAACTCCTCCTATACTTGAAGTAAGAACCCCAATAGCTTCGCTATCTGGAGAAAAAAACAAAAACAACCACAACAACAACAACAACAACAAGAAGAAGAGAGGAAGATCAAAAAGCGCCACAACCACAACCACATCCACATCCACAACCACATCCACATCCACAACCACGGCGGCGACGTCGACGTCGACGGCAACAGCAACAGCAGCGACGACAATGACAGCTAGGGCAAGGACAAGGACGACGACGATAACAACAACGACAACGACAACGACGGCAAGGACAACACAAACAACAACAACAACAACAACAACAACAACAACAAGGATAACGATACATAACGACAAACATGACGAGAACGCGAACACTACTGCACATTTGAGCAATAATTAATGCTTTAATCTCAGAAGCTGGCCAAACCCGATCTTACCCCAGCTTCAATTTCACTGAACAATCCTAACGCGAATCCTGCCCTCGCTTGTCGGTAAGAAAGTCATGTTTAGACGATAAACTAAATGACTCTTCGAGTCCCTTTGGATGCTGGCAAGTAGTTGCTTTGTACAAGATATACACTACAGGTGCACCTGTCTTACCAGTATCTGCAGAGTCTCTGATTGCCTGCATGGTAGAGAAGTGCAATCCGAAGGCCCTTCCATGCCACTGATCGAATGTCAACCTCCGATTGGTTGCACCACAGGACAACATGCATGTAGTTTCCACTATAGACTTGATGCCTATATAATCCTATATATATTATATATGTATGTATGTACTTATGTATGTACGTATGTATGTATGTACGTATGTACGTATGTATGCATGTATCTATGTATCTATGTATCTATGTATCTATGTATCTATGTATCTATGTATCTATGTATCTATGTATCTATGTATCTATCTATCTATGTATCTATCTATCTATCTATCTATGTATCTATCTATCTATCTATCTATCTATGTATCTATGTATCTATGTACGTACGTACGTACGTACATACGTACGTACGTACGTATGCCGTATGCATGTATGTACCTATGTATGTACCTATGTATGTACCTATGTATGTACCTATGTATGTACCTATGTATGTACCTATGTATGTACCTATGTATGTGCGTAGGTAGGTACGTAGGTAGGTAGGTAGGTATAGGTATAGGTATAGGTGTAGGTGTAGGTGTAGGTATAGGTATATGTATATGTATATGTATATGTATGTATATATATATGTATGTATTTATAATGCATGCATGCATGTATGTACGTACATACGTACGTATGTATGTTTATGCTATCTTTTGATATCTTTTGTTATCTTTTGTTATCTTATCTTATCTTTTGTTATTTCTTATATTATCTCTTTGTTATCTCTTATGTTATATATATATATATATCTTTTGTTATCTCTTATGTTATCTCTTGTGTTATCTTTTATGTTATCTCTTATGTTATCTCTTATGTTATCTCATGATATCTTTTATGTTATCTTTTTTGTTATCTCTTTTGCTATCTCTGTTGTTATCTCTTATGTGATCTCTTATGTCATATCTTTTGTTATCCCTTATGTTATCTCTTATGTTATCTCTTATGTTATCCATTATGTTATCTCTTGTGTTATCTCTTTTGGTATCTCTTATGTTATCATTTCATGTTATCTCTCATGTTATCTCATGTGTTTTCTTTTGTTATCTCTTTTGTCATCTCTTTTGTTATCTCTTTTGCTATCTCTTATGCGATCTCTTTTGTCATCTCTTATGTTATCTCTTATGTCATCTCTTTTGATATCTCTTTTGTTATCTTTGCTATCTCTTATGTGATCTCTTTTGTCATCTCTTATGTTCTCTCTTATGTGCTCTCTTATGTTATCTCTAATATTATCTCCTTTGCAATGGTATGTAATGGTCTGTAATGGTCTGTAATGGTATGTATTGGTATGTGATGGTATGTAATGGTATGTAATGGTATGTAAGGCATTTAATGGCATTTAATGGTTTGTAATGGTATGTAGTGGTATGTAATGGTATGTAAGGGTATGTAATGGTATGTAATGAATGTATGTATCTATGTAATGTAATGTGATGTGATGTGACGTGACGTGACGTGACGTGCCGTGATGGATGGATGGATGGATGGATGCATCATGGATCCATGGAGCATGGACACTTGGATGCTTGGATTTATGGATGCATGCATGCATGCATGCATGCGTGCATAGGTGCATGCGCGCATGCATGCATGGATGGATGAATGTTGATGTATGGATGTATGTATGCGTGCATGCGTGCGTGCATGCGTGGATGCATGGATGCATGCATGCATGCATGCATGCATGGATGGATGATGTATGTATGTATGGATGTATGTATTTATGCATGCATGCATGCATGCATGCATTCATGCATGGATGGATGGATGATGTATGTATGTATGTATGTATGTATAGTTGCAACATCTTCTAACTTTGCCAGCCAACTGCCACTACGAACTTACAAGTGCCCACTGCAGCAACAAAGCAGAACCACAAACCCACAAAGCAGGGCAACAGGATGACAAGGTTGCAGGCTGATTAAGTGTTTTTAAATGCAATTTCAAGACAACTCTGCTTTTCAATGCCCACCCTTTGTCCACTACATGAATTCCATGACCTCGTTCGTGCTATTGACATCAAGACGTGTTTGGCAGGGACTGAAAGGACTGACAAAATTCTGGCTATCCTTGCCTTTTCATTGTCCTCATCTTTGGAGGTAAAATAGTAGATGACCGCGCACCACCTGGCAAAAAGAACACACCCATGATTCACAATGCTCACATTGAGTGAACATTGAGTTCGTATGGAGTTCGCATGGAGTTCGCATGGAGTTCGCATGGAGTTCACATTGAGTTCACAAGTGTCTGCAATGTGTCTGCATTGTTCCTCTATCCGAAACCACACTGGCACCATCACTGCAAGTCCGTCCATCAAGTCCTAAGTCAATGCCGGGGCACGAAATCACGAACTGCCCCAGAGAGGTGAAGATTTCCAGGAGCCAAAGACCGCCAAATACATAGACCCTGTTTACGAAGCAAAGTGTCTTGAAAGTATCTTTCAATTCTTTCATACAAAGTCAGGCATCTTGCAAAATGAGCTTGCAAGGTGGGCGCACACAATGCCCCACCACATCATCGGATCAAAGTAAAAGTTCTTGCTCATGCCTCACAAGGGTTAAGAGAACACAGTTTACATTAAGTCTCACTCCTGAGAACGAGGGAAAAGAAAGTCATGGCTCTGCTTTGTTCCCAGTCTATAAGATTGGTATTATACGGGCGATTATGGACGCTTGTATCTGTCCATTCCTCCTCTACTTAGAAAGCAAGCCTCGCCACTTGCACGCCGAAGCAGCAATTGCTGTCCATGCCATTGTCCAGACTTCGAATGGAACGTCTGTCAATTGCCTAGTAGTGCTTACGCCTCAAAAAGACCCTAGCACCCCATACCGAGCATTTTTTGGAGAAAAAGACCTCCTAACCTGCTCCGCTTAAAAAGAACTTGCGTCCGTCGTATCTGATGGCTGGATTTCCTTATAGTCCAATCAACTGCAACTTGACTCTCGCCTGCGAAAAGCTCTCCCTCTACAACAATGCGGTAGTCATCCTTAACAGCAGCTAGCAGCTAGGAGTAATTCAAATTCCAATGGATGCTAGGTTCCACATCTGACCTGAACAGAAAACACACTCTGTGAAAGACTGAGCTGCGCGCATACATTCCAACAGATACCAATGTCATGAAGTTGTAGCATAACAGCCACCTTATCTGAAATCAAACTTGGACCCAATACAGCCAAAGTGAGGCTCACGTCAAACAAGTTAGATAAGCATGCGCACATGGCAGCACACTTCGAAAAAAGAAAAGGACACAAACAAGAAAGCGGGGATACCTCCAGATCTACTTACTTACTTGCCATTGAACATGGCAAGGCTTTTGCAAGCAGGAATTCAGTGCCAGACAGGTGAAATACGATGCATTTCAAGGGGGTCTACAAACTCTGATTTATTTCTACCTGCCCTACAAATGGCACATTCCTCAAAGCATCAATGATGGCCATTGACTTGTTTCACTGCATAAGAAGCACACATCATGAAGAACTTGCAAATAGCCTCGGCCGAAGCTTTCACAAAGTAAACAGTTCGCACGGGCGTGCATCCAGAGGAGAGTCAAGATTCGATACTATGAGCGAGTAAGGCCAGGGCCAGAATTGGTGGAATGAAGAAAAGTGACTTCATATGCATCAAAGCAGACCAGGACGCCTGGAATGTAAATTGTCATGGGGACAATGCCGAAACAAAATAAGCTTCGGTGGTATCCCCAACAGCCGCAACGTTTTATTTTTAGGAAATCTTTCTGAAGCTTGCTGCCAAGCCAAGCGCTGGAAACCCTGTCCTGACCTGGCCCTGCACCAAAGATTCCCAAAACCTTCTCCGGACCTGCTCCGCAACCTTCTCCGGACCCCGTTGAACCTGACTTGGCTTTGCACCAAGGCTTCCTGGAACCTTCTCCGGAACCTTCTCCGGAACCCTCTTGAACCTGACCTGGCTCTGCACCAAAGCCTCCCAGACCTTCTCCATAACCTCCTCCGGAACCCTGTTGAACCTGACCTAGCCCTGCACCAAAGCTTCCCAGGCCGTCTCCGGAACCGAACCTGACTTGGCTTTGCACCCACGCTTCCTGGAACCTTGACCTGGCTCTGCACCCAAGCCTCAGACCTTCTCCGGGAACCTTCTCCGGAACCCTGTTGAACCTGACCTGGCTCTGCACCAAAGCCTCCCAGACCTTCTCCATAACCTCCTCCGGAACCCTGTTGAACCTGACCTAGCCCTGCACCAAAGCTTCCCAGGCCGTCTCCGGAACCGAACCTGACTTGGCTTTGCACCCACGCTTCCTGGAACCTTGACCTGGCTCTGCACCCAAGCCTCAGACCTTCTCCGGGAACCTTCTCCGGAACCCTGTTGAACCTGACCTGGCTCTGCACCAAAGCCTCCCAGACCTTCTCCGGAACCTCCTCCGGAACCCTGTTGAACCTGACCTAGCCCTGCACCAAAGCTTCCCAGGCCGTCTCCGGAACCGAACCTGACTTGGCTTTGCACCCACGCTTCCTGGAACCTTGACCTGGCTCTGCACCAAAGCCTCCCAGAAAAATCAGCAAATGGACAGGCGCCACAACTGCATATATCAAACTGTCAAGGAGCTGCCTCAAGTTTGTGACGGGACACCCAACAAAGTGTTTTTACCGACCAGTCAGGTTGGTGGCGCTGGGGTCTGCAGATTTTATGTCAGTGCCCCTTCGACTCCTTCTCCTCTTCCTCGGTCTCCTTAGCTGCCTCCCACCTCTCAGATTCCCAATCAGAAACTTCAGCTGGCACCAGCCACGCCGCGAAATGCTGTTTGTCAATGTTTGTCATAGTCCAATATTTTTTATTCTAACATATTCAATATTTATTCTAAGACATTTCACTCGGGTCAGCTGGACACAGGATCCCAAAGTCTCCTGCACTGGGCCCGAAAGTCCCAACTCTCCAAACTCTAGAAACTCTCCAAACTCCCGTGTCCAACCTTCAAACTCCAACCTTCACATTCCACACTCCAAACTCGAGCCCCCAAACTCCAAGCTTCACAGTGCAAGTAGATGCAAGTAGTATGGATCACTCGAATGTAATTCCCAGGACTTTGGATCGGTCGAACGTCACAACAAAAATGATGGAAAAAAAATATATATATATATAGAAACCCAAAGCAAACTGACAGTCACAGATCTGACAGCTCATATGGACAATGGACTGCTACCAGTGCGACAAGGACCAAAAGCACCACCACTACTACCAGAGCTACCACTGCCGCAAGGAACGCTGCTCCAACCACCGTAAGATACCATGTAACATTCAATGTAACATTCAATGTATATAACTAATAGAACTCATGAGTGACTACGTGTGACTATTGCGAACACCCACGGCAGCTATGTGCCACCACCTGTAGAACGACTGAACTTCTACTGCTACCACCACCGCCACTAGTCGGACTAGTCGGACTAGTCGTACATTTTACTAAGCCACTAAGTCACTATGAGGAAACCAGCACCAACATTCAGGACGCCCAGCACCAGCACTGAAATGTCAACAGCCACCTCATCAATAACAAACTCAGACCTGAAAATCCTGAAATAGGACGAAATATCATGAAATATCACTGTATAAAGACCAAGTTGCAAACACTTTGAGACCTGTCAGTGCAGGTTCCGTCCTCTATCAGGGTCTCCATCTTGGTTTCGTGGCCATTGACATTCGTGAAAAAGCTGAGAGAACCGAACCTAAGAACTCTGAGAAGAGCTCCCAAAAGCTTGGAGTTTCAATACTCTTGGAATACGTGAAACTGCGCAAGCTCAGCCGCACACGATAAGAGGAGGCAAATGCAGCCGCAAACCATGGACGCAATGAGTGCCTGACACCACGGTAAAGACATGCACAAGTCCGGGGAAAAATGGCAAGCACTTGACATTAACATGTCATTTAGAGTTTGCAAAGTGGCACTTAAATGCACTTAAGAGGTATTGTCAGCACTGTAGGAATAGACTCTCTATCTCGTGCGCCTGGCATTTCATGCAAACATCTCAAGACTCTGGGGCAGTGGCTTGACCCTCGGACACCCGTTTGAAGAAAATATTTAGATCCTGACTCCAAGGGAATCCAAGGGAATCCAAGGGAAATCTGGAAGTGAATCTGCTTGAAACTGACTTGGCATCTGAACAGGAAGAGACTTTCGCTTCTTTTCGGTTGGCCATCACTTAGGCATGGTCCATGTACCTCTCTCTCGAAAAGATTGGACTGCCATAAGTGGCCTCAGGAAAAGAGGTTCTGGAGCATAGTTGAAATCATTTGCAAACGCAACTATTCATTGACTCGCTTCATCCTGCAAAGCATTCTTGAAGATCATTTCAAGGTCGCTGGGATACCGGCAGACATGAATAAGAGAATGGCAACCAAGAGCAAGAAGATCGACACTGCAATCAGGCAGCCACAGACTACAACGTTTCCGGCATCCTGCCAGAGCACACATCGCGTGCTGTTTGCATTTTGTCACAGATTTCACGTTTGATCACAAATTTAAAGCGGCAAATTTAATCCTTTGCTGGAGAAACCAAGAGTACAAATGCAGAACACTCATGACCAATGTGCTGGAAACACCAGCACGAGCAGGAGCACTGCTCAGACTGCACAGTGCTTTTCCCAGTCCCTCTGCCTTCAAGGAACCCAGGAGAAATATGTAGACCAGGCTGACCACCACTGCCACCACAACCGAAAAGAACATAACCAGCCAACAGTCCTTGAAACACTTTGACAGACCAACCCCGGTCATGCCCGGTCAAACTGTCACCTTCAGTAATTAGATGTTTCAATCCAATTGATCTTCAGTAATGAGGAGAAACAAACTCTGCATGGCTTAATTCGTTTAATTATTGTCTTATGCTGCTACCTTATGACTGGTTCGTTACTGGTTGGCTCCAGACTTGGCATAAAACAGTCCTTGAAGCTGCCGAAGCCTTTGTGCCTTTGCGCCACATTTTTCCAAGTCCGTATGCAAGGCACAGGGCACTGGATACTCTGAGGCATGCACAGGCGTTCCAAACCTAGAGGCCCTGAAAATGCTAGAACATCCGCCTGACCACGCCAAACAGTTGGAGTTTTAAAAACTATCAGAACCTCTTGTCCATTCGTAGAATTTATGCATATTTGATGTCCTTTCTGTTTTTTGTTTTCTACTTGACACACTCAGATTGCTCGCCCTCACCCTCAAAGACAGCCTTCAGTGTTTCGTTGGTAGGCACACAGTAACGTCCAGACAAGAGCTGTGAGTCGTACGTCGTCGCATACCTGGACTCCAAATCTTGACCAACTCACTATGGAAAATTTGTTTGAGGAAGCATCAGCACACACCGAGTGTGGCACACTGTCTCTTCTCTGAACATGAGAAAGAAATTCTCCTTATTGCCAAACTGTCCTCCTGGCAGAACAGGACAAGATTGATACGTAGTCCGACATCACAGACCATCATACAGTGTGCATGCATGAATATTGGGGTGATGATGCAATATTGTAGTCTAGCCAGTCTAGCCTTTTTTCGATCATACAACAAGAACTCTCGTACAAATTCCATCAAGGGAATGTCGGGACGGACGCATTCATCATGGTTGCTCGCCATAACAATCACACACGTGTCACCAACTGCTGCCCCCGCCCATCCACCCACGGGCAGCAGAGCAAGATTACTTTTTCTATCCCGGTGCTGCGAGGTCGACAGCGATCGTTCACGCTGCTGTCCTTGGTGCGAACGGGGCGACGACATGCCCACACGTAAGAACGGGGGCCCCAACCTCAATCGATGATCAAGGGTACCACCGGTGAAAACCCCAACAGTTTGGAATGAAAACATGGTGGTCTCCATCACTACCTAACCTCCATTGAGGTGATGAAAACCAACACAGTTTTCCCCCATCCCAACCCCTACTGGCGGGACAGCAAACGTGGGATCAACCGTGGACAGGTGGGGGCCCCTACCATCAACAACAAGGGTGTCCTACCCGTCAATGTAACTTAAATCATCTCATGGACTCCCCTTGGAGAAATCTTACTAATTCGTCAGTGTATTATTTAACCTATCCAACTTCCCTGTTCTTAATCACCAAGGCGCTTCTCGTCCCTGATGAGGGTTCCCGGGGTTGAGGTGGGTGGGAGGGAACCCGGAACTTAGCTCTCCATTGAGAGGGGGGCCAACTAAGCCAAAACTTGATCCAACATGGCAACCCCATAATGAATGAAGGGTTGCGTTTCCCAATTCCACCCACATCGCAGCGTTGCCCCGTGGGATTGTTAATTCATGCAGGAAGCATTACTCAACAATCACACACGTGTCACCAACTGCTGCCCCCGCCCATCCACCCACGGGCAGCAGAGCAAGATTACTTTTTCTATCCCGGTGCTGTGAGGTCGACAGCGATCGTTCACGCTGCTGCCCTTGGTGCGAACGGGGCGACGACATGCCCACACGTAAGAACGGGGGCCCCAACCTCAATCGATGATCAAGGGTACCACCGGTGAAAACCCCAACAGTTTGGAATGAAAACATGGTGGTCTCCATCACTACCTAACCTCCATTGAGGTGATGAAAACCAACACAATTTTCCCCCATCCCAACCCCTACTGGCGGGACAGCAAACGTGGGATCAACCGTGGACAGGTGGGGGCCCCTACCATCAACAACAAGGGTGTCCTACCCGTCAATGTAACTTAAATCATCTCATGGACTCCCCTTGGAGAAATCTTACTAATTCGTCAGTGTATTATTTAACCTATCCAACTTCCCTGTTCTTAATCACCAAGGCGCTTCTCGTCCCTTTTTGGCATCCTTGCCGCGGCTTGGAGGTCGGTCACGCTGCTCTGAAGCACCTGTGGCATAGTTCGCTTCCGGCGGCAACGAACGCTCCGGCCGTGCCTGTTCCCGACCATTTCCAGCCACACCGGGTTGTCCAGGTGTTCGGCGGTCCCTGCATCTGCGTCGGTCGGTGGAGGATCCCAGTCAGCCCATGCCTGACGGTCAGCAACTGCCCTGAGCGGGCTTTGTCCGCGTCCGTGTCCAGCTCGGGCCTTGCGTCCTCCATCCCGATCACCGGCCTGAAGTTCGTGCTCATCAGGTTTCCGGTGTGTCCTGCCTCGATGGAGGCGGCCATCGCCGCCGAGGCGCCCCGCGGCCCGGACCAGCGGCGTATCCCGCAGATACACCAGCATGGCACTGGTGCTGCTCCATCGACCCAGGGCCCGCACGGTTTCTTCACTCACTCCAGATTGGAATGCCCACAGTGCCCCGGTCACCCTGAGGCTGTGCGTTCCGAACCGCGGGGATCCCTGGGTCTCCAGAGGTTCTCCTGCCGCAGCGGCCACCCTTTCCACCGCTGCCTGGATCCTGGCCTCCGTGATCCGGTGCCCCATCTCGTCTGTGAACAGCGGGGCGCTGCCGTTGACCACGCCCGTGGTGCGCAGCCGTTCTTTCCTGGCCAGGGAGTGCTCCCATAGCAGGTGTACTGGGCAGTACTCCGACTGGCGCTCGCTGGGGCAGACGCAGTCCCGCGCCACTGTCGCCCCTTGGCCCTGCTGGTCCGTCTTGGAGCTGGCCACTTCCAGCGCCAGCTGCCAACGCTGGCGCGGTCCCCATCGGACCTTCACGTCGGCCACGTTCAGGGCCTTCAGTTCTGAGATCCGTAGGAGGAACCAGATCCCAGTCATCAGGGGCCGGAAGTCCCACTGCCCTAGATGTGGAATCGGAATGGGGGCCTTCCCCTTTGCCGGGCCTCGACCCCTCTTCGCTATGCGCAGTCTGCGCAGCACTTGCACATAACCTGCCCTGAGGGATCGTGCACCACCGTGCATGCCGGACACGCTATGTGTCCGCAGACCCTGCCGTCCAATCCCAGGATGCTTCCCGAGGCCCAGGGTGCCAGGCACAGGCCCAACATGATTGTTCCATCCTGATCAACAGGCTTTGTCTTGAATGTGGCCTGGTTGATCGGGTGTTCATGCTGGAGGGCTCGTATGCCATTCTTCACGCATCCGCAACATGCGGGTGCCATGTTAAGTGGCACACTTTCCTGCTCACGCGGCTTCTGTCCTGCCGGACCGTCTTTGCCGTGTTGGTCCGGCGGCGAACCATCCTGCCCTCCTCCCGTACCTGCCGGTGGTGTTTCCTTGCACGAGTCTTCTGCGGGCTCTTTCTTACACGCCCCTGTACCTTCTCCAGACTCGCCATGTCGGTGCACGTATTTTCGCCATCCCTGTAGGCTGCTTAACGTGCTTATATTCCATACCCCGGCGGGGGCGGCCACGTTCTCGTTTTCATCCATCTCTCCGGGCCCATAGGCGTGTTTGTTGGCCCGGCCGGTGTCCCTTGCAGGGAGATGGGTCCTGCCGCAGCTGCTCTCTGTCGGCAATTTGTTTCGGCACTTCGTGCCCTCCTGTCTAGAGGGGGCGGCTTGCTCTGCCCCTCCCTGACGGTGTCGCGAGCCGCCCGGTCGGAGAATTCGGCTCTTGGCAGCGATGGCGGCGGCGGCCGCAGTGAGTCCGACGGCCTTCCAGGTGACCGCGCGCCGCAGCAGCATAGGTAGACCAGGGTGATGAAACACCCGGATACGGCGGTGTCCAGCAGCAGAACGGCCCACAGGTCAGCGGGCACGTCGCCTGCTGCGGTCAGCAGAGTGACACCGAACATTGGAGCCAAACGGCTGCGGACATGCGATGCAGGTTGGTGGTGTGCTTAGGAGAGGGGGGGGGAGATACACAAAACCCTAAACGTGGGGGAACAACAAGCGAAACACCCATTAAAGGGGGGGGAAATCACCCGCGAAGGCACAAACAGACCCCCTCCATCCCTTGCTGAAGTGCCAGTCGAGTCTCGCTCACCGAGGGTCCAGCTTGAAGATGGAGACGGTGGGGACAGGCTCCCGCGGCAGTGGGCGTAGTCGGAGCGGGATTTCTTTTCCTTCCGTCAGCCTGGACAATGCATCGGCTTCAATATTAATTTCGTTTCGCCAATGCTGCCCGCTGACGGTCTCGGCGCCGGTTTCTTCCAGCAGAAGTGCAATCTCTGCGGCCAGGCGGTTTGCTTTCGGGTGCGGGGATGCCATTTTGACCGCAATCCGGATGGCTGCTTCGTTGTCCAATTGTACCAGGATGCCTATCCTGCACCTCCTTAGATATCGTTTCCATATGTGCATCGAGATCAGCAGGGCTAACAATTCGTACACCGTCATTAGCCCGGGTTCTCCCGCAACGATGCCCAAAGCTTCTAGGGCCCATTGCGGGATGGGGCTGGCCAGCCAGACCACGGGCCTGTTGTATGCGTCCAACAGGATTCCACCGAGGCCGGTGGTTGACGCGTCTGTGCGAATGACCCATTGCGGCCGTGTCCAGCGGTCGGTGAGTAGTCTGGTGCGCTGTAGCCCGCCGTGGTGTCCCAAGAGGAACTGTTTCATCCACGTTAGTGGGAGCCGAATTGTCTTGGCGAACACCGACCCATCCGGTCGTAAGCGCGCCTTCGATTTGCAGGTCTTGACTGCCTCCTGCTGTTTGTCCATTCCGTAGACAGCGGCCCACAGCATGTTGACAAAGGGCCGGATTGTCGGGATGATTCCCGCCACCCAGCTCAATTCACCTGCCAGGTTCCTGACTCCTTTGACCAGGCCGTCACTCTGTAGGGCCTCAGATACGGTCACAAGCAGCTTCTGGATGCGTTCCTCGTCAATGGACACTTGGACGCCACCCGTGATGATGCTGAACGTGGCCCCTATCCACTTAATGCGGCGGCCTATTCCTGCCTTGTGGATGGCCAGTTTTGCCCCAAATGCATACCAGAGGGCGAGCGTCCGGAGGATCAACCAGGCTCTTGTATACCGGTCTCCTTTAACCACTGCTATGGGATCATCGACATACAGTTGGAGACGGAACAACCTGGGGTCGTGTATTGCCTGCGTGGCGCGGGCTATCCACGCGGCTGCTTGGCCCCATAAGAGTGGTGCCGAGGCCAATCCGAACGGTACCCCCCGATAGGATGCGTACGTTCCATCTGAAAGTTTGATGATGGTGTAGCCACGTTCGGACTCCATCACTGGCAGGTTTAGGAATGCGTCGCTGACATCAGCAGTGAACAACTCTAGTGATCCGGGCCCTAATTCTTGTAGGTCCAAGATGTCCCTCACTAGATCGCAGCCCCTTGGTAGAACGATGCGTTCCCCGGCCTGCGATAGCCCGTTCACTTCTGAACGAAGCATATCAGCAATAAAACGAGTTTTGACACTTCCGTCCGGGCGAGCTTTCACCAGCGTGGCCAGTTTCGTGGCTCTGGCGTCAGGCCACCTGCTCTTGACGTCGGTCCAGCTGCCGATCCTTTCTATGTGGCCCTCGGTCAGCAACCTGTCCAGCTCCTCCGCAGATTCTTGGATGTGCTGGTGAAAGGAGGCGTAATTTCGGTCCACCTCCGCGTGACTTCCCAACTGCGCGAGGTACTCGGCACTCTCCATTTGCGCTTTTGTCGGCGGTGCCAGCGGATAGATGCCCCTGCTCGTGATGGGTTCGTTGATGCCAAGCGGGGTTCCTTTCCCGAACCATTCCGGGACGTCTGGGTCCGGGCCCGCGGTCGCCTCACCCACGGCTTTCATAAGGCGCCACCGCCATTTGGTCACACCGACTTCCATCCAGTCTGTGGTGTTGGTTATCTGTGCGATTTCGGCGGCGCTCTTTGCGCCCAGCCTTTCGAGCAGGGCTTGCGCCTTCGCTACTTGTTCCTTGCTCATGCCCTGCGCCATCTCCTGCGCTAACTCCAGGACCCTCGGATCTTCTGATATGGTCCGGTCGATGGCCTGGGCGGCCTTCTCCCCCCAGGTCTGCCAGCGGGGAAGCTTCGCCACTGCTTTGCGCGGGTTCCTCATTCCTCCGATACAGGCCTCGTCTTCTTGATCTTTTCTTTCTTTGGCGCTGAGCTCGCCTGTGGCCTGGCTCTCGTCTCTGTGACGGTGGTCAAGCTCGTCTCTGACCAACTTATTCAGGTAGCGCCCTGTTCTGAAATATCCTTCCTCCTGCTCGGAGAGCGGTGGCTTCGGATTGCCGGCCGCAGCCTCTTGTTGGCCGCGCCGCGGCTGATGCCCGACCGGGGGTTCGTGGCTTTCGGCGATCGGAGGGGCTGCGCCACTCGGCCCCTCCGCACCCGGGGGCGTGTGTCAAGAGGCTTGGGCACTCTTCCCGCATGACTTTGCAGGATGAGCACCCAGACACACCTGGCAGATGTGGAGCATGTCTTTGGGGCATTTTGATTGGCATTCGCCGTTGTTGTATCCAAAACAAATCGGGCGGCCCTGGCGATCTGTCATGTACCTGCCCTTTCCATCCCTTTTAATGCCCCTGCCCTTCTCGCCTCCCTTTCCCCCTTTCCAGCCTTGCTGCTGGCTAGTCCTCTCTGATCTTTCTTCTTGGCTCCTGAATTTCGCCAGTTGTCTCTTCAAGCGTTCTTTCTGGGACGGGCGAGGTTTCTTTGACTGGGCGTCCTTGGTCCTGTCGGTGAGCGAACCGGTACCACCTACCTGCTCTTTATGTTTCCCCCCCTGTGCGGAAGAGCAGTGCCGGTTCTCTCACGTGACGGTCCCAGTATTCCCGGTCCCGCGCAGCTACTCTGAACACCTCATTCCAGGGCCTGTGAGGGTCGTAGCTCGGGGCCAAACCTTTCTGATACTGCTCTTCCAGTTTCCTCCTGAGGCGAGCAAAATGTTCACCTCGGCACCTGTCCTCGGCCGTGACGCACAAATGCCAGGATTCACCATAGTTCCGTACCAGGTCACGAAAAGCGTCCTTGTATTCGTCTAAGGCAGACAAGGATGCGACCGGGAGTGCGTCCGGGCCGGTACCGACCTCGAGCGTTAGGAGAGTGTTTGCGAACACCTGCCAGGACGATTCCCAGTCGTCGTACGACGGCGGTCCTGGTACTTCCACTGCTCTGAAGGTTCCGTCGGGTTGCAACAGGTGGTTCAGGAATTTCAAAGTCTTCAAAAATCTCCTTTGATGGGAAACGAAGAGTCCGAAGTCTGCATATGGCGCCATGTCCAGCTGCAAGACTCGGACCTTCATGGCGGAGATCTGGTCAGGGGACGGTTCTGCCTCAGGGCGCACTGGCCCGCCCTTGATGCGCTCGAGGGCTTTGAAGTGCAGATCAATGTCCGCCTGTCCCAACTCGGGGATCTCCGCCTCGTCCGTCTGATCTAAGATCTGGTTGTTCTTAACCTTCCTGGTGGCCCCTCCCACCGGTGGTTGGGGGTGGACACCCGGGAGGTTCGGTGGTGCTCCCCCTCCTGCCGGTGCCGGGGGCAGCGGCGGGGTAAGAGGGTCAGATGCCGGTCGCCCAAGTTTTAGCTGCGCCAGTTGAAACATGAGTCCCACCTGGGTGCATTCCACTGCCGTCAAAGCTCGGGTGGTGGCGGCGACGTAGTCAGGTTCGCCTGCGACGCCAGCGGCAGGGACAGGCACCCGCGCAGCGGTAACGGCCTCTCGAATAGCAGCCGAGGGCATAAATGCCAGCACGCGAAGGTGCGGGGCGGTCCCCAGCATGGTATTCACAGCCTCCCATGCGGCGTCCAGTAGCGAGACCCAATCACGTAAGTCGTCTACGGACTCCAGATTTTCCAATTCGTCGGTCGAGATCAGTTGAGCCATGCTAGGGAACCCGGAACTTAGCTCTCCATTGAGAGGGGGGCCAACTAAGCCAAAACTTGATCCAACATGGCAACCCCATAATGAATGAAGGGTTGCGTTTCCCAATTCCACCCACATCGCAGCGTTGCCCCGTGGGATTGTTAATTCATGCAGGAAGCATTACTCGACAATTTATGTATTACCGTCGAAGGCAAGACCAAGGAGCAGTCGGAGCAAGCATAAGCATCTTATAGCATCTTAAACATCTTATAGTACTGCGTTGAAGTGCACAAAGTGTAAACAAATTATTCAAATGTTTGAAGATGTTTGAAGATACCTGAAGATACCTGAAGCTCCAAGAGTGCGGTAACATGGATATGGGATATGGTCATCCCACCATCATTAGGGATTCCGAAATTCCATATAATATGATGAGATATCGTTGGTATATTGAGTCGTGGCCTTTTTAGGAAAAATAAACCACATGAAGACAGAAGCTGTCAACCAAACAAAGCATTCTCTAGCATCCTCTGTATGCACTGCATGCAGCATCCATTTCTTTAACTTCAAACATTTATATATCCCATGCTATGATGTGAAAGCAGCCATGCGACAGGCAAGACGCAAGGGCAAGGTATGTTTTGTTGCTCACATAGCTGTCCAAGAGTCTTTCCAAATGCCTGTTCTAGCAATTTGGAGGGCCAGGATTGGCCCGATTGGTTGATTGACTACTGTAAATGGTTCAAACATCCGCACGAGAAGCACTTAACATGGGGTAGCGGAACAAACGTATTGGCAGCATCAAGCAGCATCAATGCTTTCAGAGGCTCTTTAGTGCCTCATATGCAGAGCCAACTCAGACAACAGCATTTCGAGTGCGTCGGCGCCGGGGTTGGCTAAAGTTTTCGTCCAGTTGAACCAGCTGAACAAACTCAAATTTAACTGGTTCAACTTGCTCAACTTGTTCAACTGATTCACCTGGGTCAACTGGTTCCACTCGGTCAACCGGATCAACTGGATCAACGAAGGGATGATGTCTGGTTGGTCAACTATGGTTCGGAAACTTACTGCGTTCATATGTTCAACGTATCGTTTTGTAAAGTTGAGGGGGGATAAATTGTAGAAATGGCTGAACATGTCAACTGTTTTCATTAACCCAGCTTTGCAACCCAACAGCATACCTGAATCTTCCACCTACGTTTTTTTCAGACCCTGTGCCAAAATCCTGTTTTTTCAGTGCCCTGAAAACTTTTCAGGACCTACTCTCAAATTCAGGACCTGGCCATTTCGGGGTATCAATGGTAATGGCAATCATTGGGTGCAAACATGTGAAACCAACATTTGGGGGATATTCAAGCCATTGGCATTGATCCACGCAAATAAAAGCACTCCCAGCCCAAACTCATGGCAAGGCAGGATCAGAATATAGTATATTCCAGAAAGTATGTCAGAATAGATGCCAGATAGGATGAATGTCAAATAGAATCTCAGAAAAGAATGTAAGATAGTATGTCAGAACATATATGCCACATATACGTCCAGATGATATGTCAGAAACTATGTCAGAATAGTGTGTCAGGGTGGGGATCACTCTTAGTAAGGCAATTTTGAAAATATATTTCAGGTTCGGAATTTTCAAACTGTTGTCCTTCAGGCGCCGAAGCTCCCGTTGAAGGTCAGCATCGCCCCATGTCAACTGGTCCAGTCCCACTTCCATTTCAACAAGTCCAACTTCATCGATTAGGGTGTTGGTTGAATGGACTTGGGACTCTAGCTGGCACGGCATCCCTTGTAACCCTGTAGACACTGTAGTGGGCAAAAAGATTGTAACACACAGAATCAGCATCATTTTGATCAGGCATTCTTTTTGCTAATCCTTTCTCCCTATTACGAAAAATACCCCCAAATGACAAAAACTAGGTGCGATTTCCAATTTTGGGAAATGTCAAATTGGTTAATCTGATTTTTAATTGATCCCCTTGAGGAAACAATTTTAAAAATGAAGGTACCATGTGAGGGTTTCACCCCCAAAGAATAAAAAACTAGTCAACACCGGGGTGTCTTTTATTGGGGTCCGTCCTTTAAAATCGTCAATTTTAGTTTTTTTAATTCAGGTGTTGGTGTTTTATTTGATACTAGGCGAAAGCTTCGAAATCCTATTCTTGGCAGTATTCTATTTAAAGATTATTTTCATGGATTTTGAAATTAGAAACAAAAAACGGTTTAATCCCTTCCCCCTGTTGCTAAACAGTCGCCCCTTCACCCACCCACCCAAATAACAAACACCTGGAGGAGTTTTTAGTATTGGGGGGGTCTTTAGTATTAGGGTACGAAGCTTCCCCCTAATACTGATAAAAAAACACACACATATATATATATATACACATATTTCTATTTCAAAATCGATCAGATTTCTTTCTTTTTAAATCCAATTAAAATATGGCAAACAAGTGGATTCCGAAGCTTAATATCAAATAAAAACCCCCAACATAAAAAACTATGTATGTTTTTCTATTTCGAAATCGATTAGATTTCCTTTTAAAAATTAAATAAAATATGGCCAAAAAATTGGATGTCGAAGCTTTTCCCTTATATTAAACCCTAATATCATTTGTTTTTTTCCTGTTTCAAAATCGATTAGATTTCCTTTTGAAATCTAATGAAAAAAACAAAAAATGATTTTGAAGCTTTCCCCTAATATCAAATTAAAATCCAATTATTAAAATATGTTCAAAAATTGGATTTCGATGCTTCCCCTAATCTTGCATGAAAAATTCCAATATAAAAAACTAAATTTGTTCTATTTCAGAATCGATTAGATTTCCTTGTAAATTCAAATTAAAATATTGCCAGAAATTGGATTTCGAAGCTTTCCCCTAATATTAAACCCTCATATCAAAGACTATTTTTTCTATATCAAAATTCATTAGATTGCCTTTTGAAATCTAATTAGAATATGGTCAAAAACTGGATTTTGAAGTTTTCCCCTAATATTACACTTAAAAACCCTAATATAAAATATTTTTTTCTTTTTTGAAATCGATTCGATTTCCTTTTAAATTGTAGTAACAAAAATAAAAACCAAAACCGGATTTTGAAATGTTTCCTCTAATATTAAATTACCAGCCCTAATATATTTAAAAAAAAAATGTTTCAAAATCGATTAGTTTTCTGTTTAACATATAATTAAGATATTGCTAAAAATTGGATTTCGAAGTTTTCCCCTAAGATTAAATTAAAACCACTAATAAAAAAAAACTATGTTTTTTCGATTTCAAGAATCGATTAGATTTCCTTTTGACATCCAGCAAAAATATTGCCAGGCAATGCCAAAAAGTGGATTTCGAAGTTTTCCCCCAATATTATATAAACGTTGTAATATAAAATACTTATTTTTTCGACCTTAAAAGACCCTAGTTTAAAAAAACACCGGGGCTGACTAGTTTTTATTTTTTGGTGGTGAAATCCTGAAATGGGACCTTCATGTTTAATTTGTTTTTGAAAAGGTATCAATTAAAAGTCAAACTGGCCAGCCTGAAATTTCCCAAAATTTAACGCGGACCCTAGTAAAAGGAACCAATGTAATATTTTAGTATTTAGGGTACGTTTAGTAAAAGGAGATGGGGATTAGTAAGGTTTTCAATTTAATATAAGGGGAAGCTTCGAAATCCCATTTGGCAAGATTTGAGTTAGATTTTGAATAGGAATTCAATCGGTTTTGAAATATAAAGCTCATTTTTTAAAACGAATGTTTTCAATTTAATGTCAGGGGGAAGCTTCGGAATCCAATTTTGGCAATATTTTAGTTAGATGTTATTTAAAAAATGTTTTCCAATTTAGTTTTTTTAACAAAGGGGGAAGTTTCGCACCCTCATACTAAATACCCACTAAATACAAAAAACTATTCCGTGTGTTCATTATTGGTTGGGGAGGGGCAGACGGTTTATTATGACGCAGGGATTGGTCAGGCATCACTTGCTGGAATTATTGGATTCTTTTGGGATGATTGGTATGATGTTTAGTCAGGCATGGTTCCCTTCAGTCATGCACGATTTTTGCAAAAATCCTATTTAGGCACGACCCCAAAATCCCAGCCCGGCAAATTCCGGCCCGGGCCGGGCCCGCGCCCTGCAAATTCCGGCCCTGCGTTTTTCCAAAATCAGGCAAAACCAGTAAATCAGGTATTAAGTCAGGTGTAGTTACCTTTTAAGTCATTAAAGCTAGTCAGGCATGGTTCCAGTGGGTACCTTTTAATTGTGAAGGCTAGTCAGGCATGGTTCCCTTAATTCAGGGGCATGGGCACCTTTTAATTATGAAGGCTAGTCAGGCATGGGTTCTGTTAAGTCAGGCGTGGGTGGGTACCTCTTAATTATGAAGGCTAGTCAGGCATGGTTCCCTTAAGTCGGGTGTGGTTACGCTTTAAGTCATGAAGGCTAGTCAGGCATGGGTACCTTTTAAGTGATGAAATCTGAATCAGGCGGAGCTCCTATTCTAAATGTGTTAAATCCAATTGTTCAGTGTGGAAAAACGAGTTTTTGGCTGGTCTACGGGCAAACCCTGTGTCTTCCAATACCATAGCGTGCTGATGTCGCTTGCCTGCATAATAGTTAAGGCCAAAGCTTAGGTCATCAGTGTGATCCTGAAATGGCGCCACGACCAAGAAGATGACATGTGTAAAATGGCCCCTGGATTAACAAAGGCTGACTAATGAATTTGGAGGATGCCACTAAAGTATGACATGTAATCACTTTTGAGGAGCACTCTATGGCACGCAGCGCGCGCAGCCTGCTTTACGGTTTAGCGTTTGAAAGTTTTATTTAGGCTTTGTCTCTATGGCACGCAGCGTTTGAAAGTTTAACCGTTTACCTCTATGGCAGGCTGTGCGCGCAGTACGCGTTACGGTTTAAAGTTTGAAAGTTTTAGGGTTTATGTGTGTGGCACGCAGCGCGCACAGCACGCATTAGGGTTTAGGGTTTGGAAGTTTTATAGTTTATTTTATTGCATGCAGCGTGCACGGTTGCAGGGTTCCAGGGTTCCAGGGTTCCAAGGTTGCAGGGTTCCAGAATCCTTGAGGGTTCCAGGGTGCCAAGGTTCCAAGGTTTCAGGGTTCCACGGTCGCAGGGTTCCAAGGTTCCAGGGTTCCAAGGTTGCAGGGTTCCAGAATCCTTGAGGGTTCCACGGTCGCAGGGTACTGCTTGGCGCGCTTGGTGTCTCAACAAACATTGTCAATCCACTCGGCGGGACAATAATCTTGATTGCTTTGAAAACGGTTTGTTTCACAGAATTGATTGGGATGGTATTCGGAAGTTTGCGGCTTCTGGGCCGGAGGCGCGTGCTTTGGCGACAGGGGGTTCTTTTTCTCCTGCTGCGTTGCACAGTGCCCAAAATCTTGATGTTGCTGACACTTGTATTTGGCCTGGTTGTCATGACGTTGGCAGTTTTGACCATATTGCTTGGTCTTGTCCTTGTCGTCCATGCAACATGGATATCCCGCCCAAGCCGGGTGAGTTTCTTGTGGCTCGGTTTGGGTGGGTCATTTCTCGTGTGGATGCTGACATGGATCGTGTTCATGCTTGGCTTGTTTTTGTGCAGCGAACCATTTGGGAACTTCGGCATGGCTCTTAACGGGCTATGCTGATCCCTGCATGATTTACTGTTGATGTCGTTTGCGATGGCCTGGGTTTCCTTCTTTTGTTTTGGGGTTGATTACTGGCGGGTCTTTTGGTATTTGTTCAGGGCTTTTTAGCTCTGTGGATTGGGTGGCGGCGCTGTTCACTCAGTGCCCGTCCACGTGCGCTACTCATTTGGGGGTAGTTCACTAGTAAAGTTTCACACAAGGTTCCAAGGTTTCAGGGTTCCACGGTCGCAGGGTTCCAAGGTTCCAGGGTTTCAGGGTTCCAGGGTTCCGGGGTTCCAGGGTTCCAGGGTTCCGGGGTTCCAAGGTTTCAGGGTTCCAGGGTTCCAGGGTACCAGGGTCCCACGGTTTCAGGGTTCCAAGGTTTCCAGGGTTCCAAGGGTTCCAAGGGTTCCAGGGGTTCCAGGGTTTCAGGGTTTCAGGGTCCCAGCAGGGTGCCAGCAGGGTGCCAGGTGTCCAGGGTTAAGGTTCCAGGGTTCCAAGGTTGCAGGGTTCCAGAATCCTTGAGGGTTCCAGGGTGCCAAGGTTCCAAGGTTTCAGGGTTCCACGGTCGCAGGGTTCCAAGGTTCCAGGGTTTCAGGGTTCCAGGGTTCCGGGGTTCCAGGGTTCTGGGGTTCCAAGGTTTCAGGGTTCCAAGGTTCCAGGGTTCCAGGGTTCCAGGGTCCAGGGTTCCAGGGTTCCAGGGTTTCATGGTTCCAGGATCCCAGCAGGGTTCCAGGTGTGCAGGGTTGCAGGGTTCCAAGTTCCAAGGTTGCAGGGTTCCAGAATCCTTGAGGGTTCCAGGGTGCCAACGTTCCAAGCTTTCAAGTTTCCACGGTCGCAGGGTTCCAAGGTTCCAGTGTTTCAGGGTTCCGGGGTTCCAGGGTTCCAGGGTTCCAGGGTTCCAAGGTTCCAGGGTTCCAGGGTTCCAGGGTTCCAGATTTTCCAGGATTCCAAAGTTCCAGGGTTCCAGGGTTCCAGGGTTCCAGGGTTCCATTCCGGATTTTGAAGGCTGCAAGTCCCCGCGAGCCAGCCCCAGCCCTAGAGATTGAAACCCAACAGGCCCTGCTGTTGGGAATTTGCTCAAAATATTGAGGTTTGTAGGGAAAGGGACTCTTTTGTTAAATGACTCAATATGTCAGCGTTCTCCATACTTTCAACGTACTGGTTTGTAGGGTCCAGGGGCTGGTAAATTTATTTAAAAAATGACTCAAGATGTCCACTGCATGTTTTGAATTTATCATTTTGTAGGTAAGGAATCATTTTTTGGAGTTACTCAACATGCCGACTCTTCATATGTTCAATGTATTGCTTTGTAGGGAAAGGGGTGACTTTTTGTTGATGACTCAGACTCAACATTGTCAACTTTGTTCACGTGTGCAACATATTGTTTTGTGGGGAAGAGGGGTGATTTTTTTTAACTGACTGAACATGTCAAATTTGTTCACGCATTCAGCGTAGTGTTTGGTAGGACAGGGGCCCGGGGTAAAACTGTGCGTTTTAACGCTGTCCTTTTCGCTTCAAAGTATCATGATTTTTCTCTGTTCGTTTCAACCCGGTTCTTCGTCTCAACCGTGTCATTTCGTTTCGACCCTATTTCTTTGTCTTAAATTCTTTCCTTTTTGTTGCAGCCCTGTCCTTTCGCCTCAGCCCGCTCCTTTTGTCTCATTTTTTGTTTTCAACCCTATCCTTACGCTTCAACCCTCCTCTGAGGTTCAACACTGTCCTTCCAGATTAGGTTCAACTGGTTCAACTGGTTCGATTAGTTCAACTGAGCTGACAAAATTCATTTACCCCATTGCAGTCGCAATGAGCATTTTTTGCTGCAAAAAAAATATCTACAACCTCTTGGAAACAAAAAAACATTTTTCCCCAGGACCTGTGACAAATTTTTGGCAGTCCTTCTTCCATATCAACATTCCGAAAGCATCTGAAAGTCATGCATATGTAGCGTATACACATGATATTTATACACATATCTATTTATTTATTTATTTTATTTATTTATTTTATTTGTTTATTTATTCATTTATTTATTTCTTCATTCATTCATTTATTTCTTTATTTATTTATTTATTATATAATGGTATGGCATCGCATGGCATGGTATGGTATGGTATGGGTTGGGTTGGGTTGGGCTGGGTAGGTAGGTAGGGTAGGGTATAGGGTAGGGAAGGGTAGGGTAGGGTAGGGGTAGGGTAGGGTAGGGTAGGGTAGGGTAGGGTGTGCAGGGGAGGGGAGGGGAGGAGATGGGAGGAGATTGGAGGGGAGGTAGGGCAGCGCATGTATGTATATACAGTATATATATATATACATATATATATATATATAATACATATATATATATAATACATATTATACATATATATATATATATGTTAATCTATCACACGACGCTGCCCCAGACAAACCAGCTGGCACTTTTCTTTCTCAGCGCCAGGAAGGCTTGGCGAGGGTTGGTGACCAGGCAGCTGCATAGGACCAAAAAGGCGACATGCCATCGAAGTAGAGCACGGCCAGCGTCTGCCAGAAGGGCTCCACAGGCAAGTAGTCCAAACGAAGGGGCCAATGCAGCCATCACCATAAGGAGCACCTCCACCCAGCGCGGCTTGCCGGGGAGGAGGGTAGGGCCGTAGAAGCTGCAGCCGAGTGAGAGAATGAACATGCGGTGTCATGTTAATCTATCACACGACGCTGCCCCAGACAAACCAGCTGGCACTTTTCTTTCTCAGCGCCAGGAAGGCTTGGCGAGGGTTGGTGACCAGGCAGCTGCATAGGACCAAAAAGGCGACATGCCATCGAAGTAGAGCACGGCCAGCGTCTGCCAGAAGGGCTCCACAGGCAAGTAGTCCAAACGAAGGGGCCAATGCAGCCATCACCATAAGGAGCACCTCCACCAACCTAAGGACAGGCGCACTTGGGTGTGAAGGACAGGCCAAAGCAGCCTCACAAGGCAAAGCTTGCGTTGTTGTCGTAGACCCCAGCTTGGTGCAGGTGGTTGAAGAGAGAGGCAGCACTTCGAATGGCTCTGCGAGAAGCCCATGGTAGCTCAGTGAGGACGCTTAAGGCTGCAACCTCTTGGAGGTAGGCTTCAAGCGTAGCGACCTGCTTCAGTCGCATGGTCCACAGAAGGTCGGGAATGGAGGCCCCTTTCCGGTAGCAAGACACTGCTCCGCCTCCTCGTAGACCACCAGGAGTCACATGGGCGACGTCAGGAACCAGGAGCAACTTTAACACATGGTTCCAGCGGCGCCTAAAAACATGGGCACTGCCAGGGAAAATAAGCACATCCAAATGATCCGCACCCTGGTAGATCAAATTCAAGAGCTTCACAGCATGCACGCTGGTAATTTTGAGATGCTGAACCTTCGCCAGCTGTCGGTAGCTTGTCTTTGATTGCCGCAGCAGGAGGAAGGCCGCATCGCACTCATGCATCATGTCACAAGGTAGGAGAAGGTCTTCACGCCGACACCGTAGGACTTCACCAGCTCTTGCTATGCCATAGAAGCACAGCAAACATACGCCGCACCATCGGCGCCATCCTAAGAACCATCCAAGCGTCACCATCGCCTCCAGCAGCGTTTCAGGCACCGGAGGGCGATGCTTTGTTGGCTCAGCCTTCTCCCACCTAGTCGCCAGATCCCAACATATGCTGGCGAAGGGCCGCATGTTGGGGATCTTCCTCAGAGCAACCAAAACCAAGTGCCGGTAGTACAAAAGGGAACCCCCGGACATGAACTCTCTGTCTCCATATTTTCGAACTGCGTGAGCCAGAAACAGCGGCACCTGCAAAAAGAGTTCAATGGGATCCCGAGAGAGGTACTGCTTGCACCATTCTAAAAACAAGTCCCGACGCCGTTCTCCAAGCTTGATAGAGGCCCAACACTGAACCGGCGCCTCTTCCAGAGAGAAAGGTCGCGGGGTTCTGAGGCCCCTAGGCCCTGGGTTGGTGGCCTCGCCGACTCTGAGGCTTTTGCTCCTGCTGCAGCCAGCGATGTTCAGTTTTCCAGCTTCGGCCCATCCAGCTGCATGTAAGCAGGAGACAGCTATGAGCTTGCTAAATCCTCTAGGGTAAGGCTGGGCTACGGCAGTCCAAGGCATCTTGAGAACAGGATGCTGACCCCTCAAACGCTGGTGAGGCTTGGTGCAGGTGCAAAGCATCCGTAGGCCTTTCAACGCCGGCACATTGGTAGCGACCCTCGTCCGCTTCCTCCATCCTGTGCCAAAACGGCAGAAGTCACAGCGGAACAAGTCGCTAGACTCAGGTCGCCTGAAACGGCGATATTTTTTCTGTCTCCACAAAAAAGAACTGTCGGGGTTTTCCGTCCAAAAGTAAACAACCAGGCCGTCCAAGTCATCCTCAGACGCAAAACATAAAGAGTGAATTCTGGCATTGAAGTCACTCATGCTGTTGCCCTCGCCTACTTTCTCCTTCATTGCAGCTGACATCCAAGGCACTCCTCTCGGGAAACGAGAGCTCCTGACAGGGGGAGTTACAGCCACTGAGAAGGACTTGCAAACCAACGCTGATCCCACACACTTCACAGCCTTGAGCTCTATCAAGCGCAGGATCTTCTCCCTTGTGTCTTCTCGAAGCAGGTCTTCTGCAGGGCTGCGGGCAATTTCAAAAGTGAGCACCCAAGGACATCCTCCAGAAACCAGAGCTCGGGCAACCCCTCCACGCCCTGAATAAAGGTCCAAGGCACCCGGTTCACTGACGGCAGCGTATGGGATGCCAAGGTAGAGAGCGGGGGCCCCTGCTCCAACATCAGCTCGGCTCCAAGGACCCACGAGCCACGATCTATGGCCACCTGGTCCAACATCACCAGCATAAGCGCAGCCCGAGCTCGAGCATGGCAAACCTTCCCTTTCACCAGGTCGTCGAGGATCCCCGCTGCCGCCCAAGCCATGTAGGCAGAGGTCTTGTAGGCCCCAATGCGGCTGCGATGCTCCACCCATGCTCTGGCATTGAAATCGTTCACCGGCATCCCGGGAGCTTGAGTTCGCAGCATGAGGTCCTCCAGGATCAGCTTCTCCACCACAGTGCTGATTTCCTCCGGCGTCTCCTGCAGGCCCACACGGAGTGCTCTCCGCGCAGCTGCGGCCCGCTTGCCCGCAGATCCAGAAGAGCTGTCGCCCATTCCGCCACTGACATGCACCCCATCCAGGGCAAGGTCCATCTTGGTGGCCTTCGCCCGCTTCAGCTTGTCCGCGCTCAACAGTGCAACTAGCTCTGTCAGCTTGGACAAAGTGCTCTCCACAGTGGCCGGTTCTCCAACTTCTGCTGAACCAGGCTCGCCGCCGGAAAGACCCGGCTCTGGCTCTTCCTCGCTCTCGTCGAGCGCCTCCGCAAACTGCATGGCCTCCTTTTTCGCAGAGCTCCTGAGGGCTGGCTCGCGCAAGCGCTGTGTCGCCTTGCCGCCAGAGCCAATCAGGCGTTGCATCTCCGTGAGGTTCTCCTCGGGCACACCAGCGGCCAATGCCGCTGACACCACCGCCGCATCCAGCCCCGGGAACTTCTTCACCTGGGTCTCGGTCTTGGCAGACTTCGCCGGGATCTGGCTCGCCGAGGGGGCAAAGCTCACCCGACTCTGAGATGGCGTGGCTCCCCCTCTGGGGACATGGTCCAGCTTCTCCAGCAAGGTCTGAAGGTTCCCATTCATCTTTTCCATCAAAACTTCCAAAGAGGAAACCCGGTTGGGTAGGTCTTGCTCTTCTCCCAAGCCAGACTCTGATCTCCCTTCTCGCATCATGTGCTTCTCGCCAAGGCCGGACTCTGCAGAGAGGAAGGCGAAGCGCTCGTCGAGGGCCTCGATCAATGCCGGGGCGTAGGGCAAGTAGTCGGTAGCAGCGGCCAGCTTGAACTCTTGGTCGATCTGCATCCCGTCCACAAACACCTCCATCTGCCCATAGGTCTCCGCGGAGATGTAGCCAACCCAGATCTTCATGTAGTCCTCCAAGGCCTCCTCTCGTGCAGACACGTGGGCCACTAATACTTCCACCAACAAAGGCTTGAGCAAAATTGGAGGCAGACTCCTCTTCTGAGTTTGCCGGTGCCGGGAGGCATGAGGGAAAGCTGCTAAGTAGCGGCCATCTGCCAGGGCACTCACCATAATGCACTGAATTAGGACTCCCAGGGGCGTACGATAACGCCATAGGTCGTAGTGGTACTGGGCGGTGCCGTCTTCAGACACCACAAAGGGGCACGAAGGAGCGTCCTCTTCAGGAAGCTCGTCAAGCCCATCCAAACCTTCCATATCAGCGGCTGGCAAGCCAGCCAACACCTGACCGCTCTGCTACTCGGCAGGCTTCTCTTTCGCTGGGCAAGCCAACGAAAACAGAATCTCCTGCTCCGTCTCCACGCTTCACCAAATCTTTGCAGCTCTGCCACGATCTGCACACTCTCACAGGCTTGTATTGAAGCCCCTCGTAATCCCTGAACACCAGCCAAATGCGGGAAGGCAAACGAAGGCGATCACGCCCAGAAGCTCCGCGGTGGTCTCCGTCCAGACTCCTCTTGATGAACTCGGCAATCTCGTCGCAGATCCCTTCTCGCTCCAACCAGGACTGGGGGGTACGAGTGCTCCCACTTCGACCCGGGTCAGAACCTACTGCAGAGGCTTGTTCTGTGCACGGAGTGTCGCTTCTCGACCTCGAAGCGTTCTCGTTGAACTCCCTCTCCACTAAGCTGAAGCTGCCCTCTGAGTAGGCCCGAGAGGACCTCTGAGATCCGTCGCTCCGGCTGTCTCTGTCATCAACCAAGCGACGAAGCCGCCTGACCTCGCCACGGAGGTATCTCACTTCCTCTTTCAGGTCTTCCAAGGCGTCTTCCAGCTCAGCCACTCGGCTGTCCATACAAAGCCGCCTAAACCAGGCGGTGCAGAGGTCTAGGAGCAGGTCCAGCTGAAAGGTGCCCGACCAGCCGCCGAATCGCCACTTGGCACAAATAGATGCGAATCAGCGCCTCGAACACCGGGCCAAAAATCAGACCCAGGAGCAGCCCAAGAACCAGGCTTGGCCAGTGGACCTCCCACCAGTGCCTGACAGGGCACAGAGAAAGAGGAGGGCTGTGATGCACTCCTTCGAATATTTTCCACAGCAACGCTAGCGAGGTACCGGTTGATACCGTGGCCAACGCCTGACTCATCTGAGAGCCGTAGAAGCTGCAGCCGAGTGAGAGAATGAACATGCGGTGTCATATATATATAATGTGATTTATATGTTAAAATATGTTGTATGTGTAGTATATGTCAAGGAAAAGTGATAAGTGATAGCATTCCAAAATTCTAAATAACGTCTTTCTCAGAATCATGCACATTTTGTTCCGTCAACGCCTGGAATGCCAGTGTGCGTGATGCAGAAAGGAAGCAAGTTGTGTTGTCAAAATGTTTTTTCTCAATGATTTTTCGTCCTGGAATGTTTGGCACCGGCTGGATAGCATATTCTGGAGCGGGCCCTTGACCCTGAGGACGCATCATACACCTGGCAGCGTTTTGCAATTTCAAGTTTGAAAGGCAGATCCAAAAACGAAAAAAACAAAAGAAACAGGCCAGCCCTTCTCCACTTGGCTGGGTCCCAGCCTCACAATCCAAATCACTACTTGCCGAAGCTCAGCGTGACCCAGACACTGAAAGCACTTTTTAAAATACATTGGCATAGACACCAGCCCCAGATAGAAAAGGTTTCAAAAACGCCTTTTTATACCGTGTGAATTGGCTGCGGCAACAGCGGAACTGCTGGTTCCCAAACATTGGAAGCACTGCGTCCCAATCTTGGAACCACGAGTTCACAGCTCGAGGAATTGCCAATTCCCAAATGTTTGCCAATCTTGGAACCACGTTCTAGGAACTAGCGGTTCCCCAACATTGGAACCGATGTTTCCCAATCTTGGAACCACAGGTTCCCACTTCTAAGAACTAGCGGTTCCCAAATGTTCGAACCGATGCTTCCCAATCTTGGAAAGGGTTCCCAATTCTACTGTTCCCAAATGTTCGAGCCGATGCTTCCCAATCTTGGAAACATTCTAGGAACTGTTCCCACGGAACCGATGCTTCCCAATCTTGGAACCGCATTCTAGGAACTGGCGGTTCCCGGAACTGGCGGTTCCCACGAAACCGATGCTTCCCAACCTTGGAACCACAGGTTCCCAGTTCTAGGAACTAGCGGTTCCCAAATGTTCAAACCAATGTTTCCCAATCTTGGAACCACGGGTTCCCAGTTCTAGGAGCTGGCGGTTCCCAAACATTGGAACCTGACCAATGCCTCCCAATCTTGGAAGCACGGGTTCCCAGTTCTAGGGCTAGCAGTTCCCAAAGGTTGGAACCCATGCTTCCCAATCTTGGAAGCACGGGTTCCCAGTTCGAGGAACTGCTGGTTCCAAAAGGTTCAACCAACGCTTCCCAACCTTGAGAATGGCGAGGTCTGGCAAAACATCTTTGCCAGACTTCGCCACCGCAGCACCCACAGCACAGCACCTTCGCCGGACATCGCCGCCGCAGTGGTTAGCAGCCTGCACAGCACCCTGCAGAGCACCTTTGCCAGACCTCGCCACTGCACTCCGGACAGCAGCCTGCACCGCACCCTGCACACTGCTACCCTGTACCCCGCCACAGCACCCCGGCACCCTGCACAACATCTTTCCCAGACTTCGCCACCGCGCTGTGAGCAGTAGCCTCACAATACGCACGGCAGCCTGCACAGCACCCTGTGCAGCACCTTTGCCAGACCTCGCCACCACACTCTGAACAGCAGCCTGTGCAGCACGCTGCACAGTACCTTTGCCAGACTTGAACAGCACCTCACCACCGCACTCGCCTGCACAGCACCCTGCACAGCACCTTTGCCAGACCTCGCCACCGCACTCCCACAGCAGCCTGCATCCTGGACAGCACCTTTGCCAAACCTCGCCACATTCTGGACAGCCGCCTGCACAGCACCCTGCACAAGACTTCGCCACCGCACTCCCACATCTGCACAGCACCTTCACCAGCGCCACTGCACTGCGAACAGCTGTTCACAGCCTCAGAGCAGCCACACCAGACCCCCAGCCTGCTGCGCACCCTGCGCCACCTTTGCCAAACTTCGCCAGCTGTGAGCAGCAGCCTCAAAACACCTACAGCAGCCTGCAGCACCCTGCACAGCACCTTTCCCAGACACGCGTCACTGACACAAGCGGCTTCAGCAGCCTTCACAGCACCCTGCACAGCACCCTTTCCAGACCTCTTCACCGCACTCTGGACAGCACCCTGCACAGCCCCTGCACAGGACTTCGCCACTCCGCTCCCACTGCGCTCCTAGATCACGCTGGACAGCACCCTGCACAGCACCTTTGCCAGACATCGCCGCCGCACTCTGGCACAGCACCCTGCACAGCACTGCCAGACCTCGCCACCGCACACTGGACAGCAGCCTGCACAGCACCCTGCACAGCACCTTTGCCAGACTTCGCCACAAAGTTCGCCACTGAAGACCTGACCTTTGAGAAGTAAGAACCCCTATAGGTTTCAGCTATCTGGGGAAAAATTAAAGTCCTTGCTGCAGAATGCTGACTCGGAATCAAATAAACTCTTCTTTGCAAAAACTTCTAAGCCCTCGTCTGTGATGGCCCGCTTTGCCGAGGACACTCTTCTACGCACACTGGATGCTTCAAATTGAGCCTTTGGCACAATTGATCAGCAACAATGATGTAAAACAGTCTTGCTAGCACCCAAACAAAAAGCAAATGAGGCAAGCACGTAGTTGCGATAGAAAAGTCTTTCTGCGCCGGATCATCTCTACACCAAAAAACGAATGGCCGTTCCTGAGCCAAGCTGGGAACATTGCAAACGATGCAAGAATGCATTAGTGCATGACAACATGCCTGCCTGTACACCATCGTCAACACCGCACAGTCGTGCCTGAACAACAGGCAGAATTCGTAGGCTTTTGTTACTTTTGTATACTTTTGTTGGGACATGTTGGGACATGTTGGCGCTTTGGTTAGGTTTCAAGGGGTCGCGCCTGGTAGTCCATCCCGTGGGACAAACGTCGCACATCTGAATAAGCACGTCCGTCCTGGCTAAGGAAAACTGAGAAAAACATGCTCTGTAGACTGTTTTCTTGATTCTGACCGATTCTGAGCCTTCACAAAAGCAGTGAAGAGTCAAGACAAACGCGGCTGTAATAGCTGTTACAGTCAGTGAGTGTCGCACGATGGAGGCGTTTTTGACAATTGCAAGAAAAATCAGCATGCCGAACAGGTAGACGAGTGAGATAAGGACACCTAAACACACTTGGAAATTCAATGCGCGAAACCTGGAAATTAAATCGCAAAACTTACAAACATATTGTATATATTGTGCTGTCTTGTGTTAAGTTAAGTTTCAACTAAGCAGTAACTCTTCAAACCACTGTAGCAGTGACACGTCTCTTGTTTGCACATTCCTGTCATGGGCTTCTGCGCTGGAAGACTTATTTGAGAAGCTGGCAAACAAGGTCGGTAGGTCTTCTCACTGAAACGCCAGACGCAGGGTCAACTTTCTGAATCGGACCTCATCTTTGCATTCACACTTAATAAATTTGGAAAAGGATACATGTATCAAAGACTTGAAGAGGCCAAGGATTTGACTGGATCCACCTGTTTTTCCAGCAGCCTCAGTGTATTCAGTGTAGTCTTTGTCCATGAACTGATCTTCAGCTCCTTCGCAAGACCACGGCAATGAGTTTACCGTGTAGCAGTGTAGCGAACATCGTGAGATGAAACAGTCAGACTGCCAGGCCTGAACCATCACCCGACCTTGCAACTTTCATGGCGAAATAATTTGGAAGAGTGAGAACAAGTTTTTTCTCCTACCTCTCACTTTCTTTTCTGTTCCCTGATTTCTTTGTGGATTCATTGAATTTCACTGATACGATTCTCTTCACTTCCCGTCATCCTACATGAAAGGCCCAGACGGAGAGCCGCCGAGACTGTCAGGACTGTATGGACTTTCTGGATTTCCAGGACTTCCTGCCAACGATTTCAACGGTTTCAACGTCTCCACAAGGTGCGGTGAGAAGTTGCAGCGAGGCTCAAATGTAATAGCAATGAAGTCACTGATGTCTACTGCTGTCTAGTGATGTCTAGTGATGTTTCGTCCAGGGCATATTACACGATGCTTCACATACATGAGCTCAAGTCAAAGCTTTCAATCGGTCAGGACTACAGTAACCTTCCATTCTGCAGGAAACAGTCCATAGCCATAGTGTCTAGCAAACTGCGGTCAAAACTACAGCAGTTCAGCTTGTGAGCAGTTTAGACATGTTTAGACTAGACTCTAAGAAATCTAGCCCCAGGCCATGCCTCCCGTTCCAGGACTTGATCCTTCATACCTCAGAGGTAAAAATCCTACGGAGCTTGTCGTCAGAAGAATTCAGAATATTTATATAATTTAAATTAATTTAATCATTATGTATCATTAGTGAATCATTGCCGGATCATTGTCGACAAGTGTCGATGAGCACTGACAGGCTTGCTGAGCTAAGACTGCAGCGGGGGCCCATACTGGTCACTGTGTACTGGTGCATAAGCTGGACCTGGAAGACCTGTGTGGCCTCCTGTACCTCACAGTTGTCACAGAAACTTTTGGACCTGGACTCTCCATCAATTTCTCTTACCAGTCTTAAGCCAGTCAGTCTTCAGCCAGTCTTAAGCCAGTCGTGTCATCCATAAGATGTTCAATTACTTGTAGCTTGTACAGTTTTTTTCTATTCCACGTTATGAAGGCTGCAAGCAACAAAGAAGTCTGGTGAGGCCTGGGTATCCTGTGTATCCAGGCTGCGGCCCAGACACCTCATTTTCACGGAACAAAAGCAGTCCAACGGCGTTCCAGGACAACGCCAAGTTTGAGACATTTTTGTCAAACCTTTTTCAACTGACAAACATGCAAGGTGCGCATATGTTGGACCGTTGGCGCTCAATGGAGCCCTGACAAGATCAGGCTTGTCTCAAAGTGGAGAAAAGGTATGAAAAGGGTACCCGGAGCATGTGATGCGAGTGATGCGAGTGATGCGAGTGATGCGAGTGGTTCGAGGTAGCCATTTAATTCCAGCTTTACAGCCCTACGCACAAGACCTGCTGAATGAAGGCCCCTGCATGTGGAGGGCGAGGCGCTGCGAAAGCAGCCTCACACGTCCGGTCATTTGTATCATTTCGATATATGTTGATCTTCTGTATGATCTGTGTCATTTGTCTCCACCTTTGAAGTTTGTCAAGACTACCTGAAATGTTAGCAAGGTCAGTCACACTGGCCTGCTGGCACCTTGGCCCTCGATCAGTACTCAGAGAGCTGAAACAGCAGCAAAGGATTCAAGTTCCAAGTGAGTAACCACTACTGCACGTGCAGTGAAGAATCTCCGTCATTTGCTGAATTATGTCTATTCCATCTTTCCCAAATCGGGTAACGGCGTGAAGCGTACTAAATTGAAAGTAGATTTTTTTTCTATGTATTCAATACAGTACATTTGTGTACAGTCTCCACATTTCTGTACGACAAGAACACATGGGTGATCGTTGGTGGAGCTTCCTTGTGGAGAGAGAGACACACACACACTAGACAAGAATGGATCATTATATGATCCGGCAGGAACTGAATCCTGAAACATGCAGATTAGATATGAAACAACGAAAAAACCGATGCACCCTACGAATAATGGAAGTTCTCCTGAATGGTTTCCATGGCCAAGATCGTCATCAAAAATTATAGATCGGCGACGTGGTTTTGACAAAATAATCCAAATACATCGGCGACATGGTTTCGGCGAAATAATTCAAAAAATCAAAATACTGTCGGCGACATGGTTCGGCGAAAAACTGAGGAAGGTTCTGATGCAGGCAATACAGATTGTGGCAACCGTGTAGAGTCGAAACAACGCAGTGTAACATCTTGTTCAACAGTTCAAAAAATCGCAGGTACGTTTTCACCCCCATGCTGTCTGGTCTTCGTTGGCCAGGACAGACAGTCATGGGTTCCTGGCCCCCTGCACATGTGAAAAGTTTAGAACAATAGAAGTTTTACATCTGTTCAGATGTTACACACACACACCCCGCATGTAGCGGGGTTTGATTCTTTTGGAAGAACATCGCTGCTAAGGTCGACAGAATCAATCAAATCCAAAAGGCTACCCGGTGCTAATGTACATAGCCGCGTTCAATCACTCAGAAGGGAAATTGGCTTCAAGTTGAAGTATTTGGATCGCGTCACGGAAGCTCATGCCTTCAACCATCCTCCACGTGTCGTTGATTTCCCCAGATGCCATAGCAGCGGTCAAAGTGGTTGAAAGTTGTTTGGCCAGCTCCTGGATCTTCAAAGTTAAGCGGGTTGCCTCCGGAGGTGAAGTGGTCTCAATGGGAACGTTGTGAAAAGGATGATGCCCATGTACGAGAGGAATCTCAAAGCGATGGCGCCAATAATCCGCTGTGCGCAGGGACCACTCCCAATTGCCCGAAAGACCATAAAAGTAGTGCTCGGGGTCACGACATTTTGAGAGCCCCGACATGGGGATCTCTTCGATGAA